CCACTATATACAGGTAAAAAAGGAAGATATGGGGGCATATTTCGTGGGAAAGGTAAGAAATAATTGAACATACTTATATCCCAACGAAATTAGCCCAGTGATAGACAGCGGGATTGAATTCTTCATCGTCACTGGTTAAAAATGTGTACGGTGCGCTAGGGCGGTGATTTTTGTTGCTGTGCCCACCTGGCTTATAACCTCGAAGGGGCTTGACCTCAGCAGAGTAAATGATGTACTGAACACAAACACAAAACGCACTAAAGACTAACAAAATGAAATAACAGAAGCAATACCTTGATGTAACTGAACTGCAACAAATTTCCATAGAACATACGTGGCAACATCCTTAATCATCATCACCGTATTCTTCCAGTTTCCGCCTCAGAACCGAGCACTTAGCGAGTGGAGAAGAACGAAGAAACAGAGAATACCACGACCACGCGCAATAGGCGAACAAGAAGAACATCGAGGCAGCTTCTTCTGCAAACCTACGTCATGGTATGTGTTTTTCGACGGCATGTCGCATGACAGTGCGCCGCGAAAAGTGTGGAATGAAATCGTTATAAAGGGGTATGTAAAGTCGAGATGTCTCGCTCGGGCGAATGCATGCTTCGCCTGAGAAGGCGTTCATGCCAGGTCGGGCTGTGAGCTTTCTCCAGGAGTCATTGTACTGTTTTTAGAATTTGTGATTACCCACTACACCTGTGTACTATGCAGAGGATGGAGACTTAAATTTGATTGATATGTGGGGTTTAATGTCCCAAAACCACCATATGATCATGAGAGACGCCGTAGTGAAGGGCTCCGGATACTTCGACCACCTGTATGGAGGCCTAAATCTCAATGGCTCTGATTCGCTCGCTGGATTTCGTGCCGACCAGTTGTGCCCTCGCGATCTCCGATGACAGCGTAGCTCTGGCCGACTGGGCTGGACCTACGCCATCTCCTGACGCCGATCACCGACGACAGCGTAGCTCTGGTCGACTGGACTCGCCATACGCCATCTCCTGACGCTGACAAAAGTTTTCGCCAGTGGTGCCCCGTCCTCAGTCTCCTGCGGCCGTCTCCATCTTTCCTATTTTCTCCTTACTTCCGTCGTTCGCTGGTCCTCCGCCACCCTCTCTCTTTTTTTTCTTTCTATCTCTATACTTTTTAATGCTATCATTTTGTTACCTCCTTCCCCCCCCCCCCTCGTGAGCTACTGTTGAGGTGGCCTCCCCCTGAGAGACAGTTACGGGGCTCACTTTTCTTTTTTCTTTTAAAATAACCCCCCCCCCCCTTAACGGCTCTGAGCACCGGGTCTTCTTGCTAAGCTGGAATTCAAAGTTTAAGATCCGCATGCCCGCTACGCGAACATGCAGGGACCACAGTATAATTTAAGCCCTCAACCCTAGCAGTTATTTCCAGGTGAGCTTAGGTAATTTATTAGGATTGACTAGCTGGCCAACCTTTGACGCATTTCTTCGAACGTAACATTTGCAAAATCTTTACTGGTCCAGTTTCAGTGCCTACTAACGTAATGCACACCGCATCATATAATACATTTGATATCCTATTGCTCGGCATGCCTTCAGTTCTTTTAAACATACGATATAGGCCGTCTAATCATCGGCCACAAGGTGGCACATGAGTGTTAGTCGAACATAATAAAAGATGACACGAAGACAGGAATTATGTAGTGTATTTATAATTCGCGCAGAACCTAACGACATCCAGAACAATGCAACATGGTCTAGGAGTAGTATATATAATCTTTTATAGTTGCCATGAGAAGTTTGCCTCGACGCACCTGCATACAGTTTTTAACGATAGTAGCAGATGGGTGTAATCACAAATGTTTCCTTTACAGTTTTATTTACAAGCACACTTCATTTGCGAATACCTATAGTGCAGAAGCTCTACTTCGCAGTTGTTGGTTAGGATCCCTCCGGCGAATAGTTGATTTTTCGCCGCCTTTATGCATTTCAATTGGTGAGAGTTAATACTCTTGAGTAATGATATAACAATAATGCTTCCGGTGTTTTTGTTCGCTTAACGTAGTCTCGTATTATTTTATGGTTCCGTGGAAGTAGTGTGCAGCCATTCCGTGCACTCGTTCTGACGCACTCATGACACTGTTGTTGATATCACGGATGTCTAACCCTTAGGCCTCGCTGGGTCGAACACCAGGCCCTTCCTGGCCGGCTACGTCACCCAGGGTCGGAAGACTGTCCGACGAGCCGGGTCCAAGTGGTACATGCCTCTCGCCGTGTACGAGCCGAACTGGCTGCCGTCGTACATTCACGGCAGCGGCTACGTGGTGTCGCGCGACGCGGTGCGGCCCTTCTTCGCCGAGGCACTTGCGACGTCCTTCCTCTACGCGGAGGACATCTTCCTCACGGGCGTCGTGGCGCAGAAGGTACGCAGTGCCGTGCTCCATAGCTACAAAGTGGCGAGTTGGGATAATTGGTAGTGGCGCGTTGGGATAGTTGGTAGACCTTCTTGCTTAAAAGGTTAGTTTAAAACCCGCAGAAAACGAGGACAATGGAAGTGGACATGACTGCTCTTACACTCACAACTCAATCTTTATTAGTCTAGAAAAACATCATAAAAATTAGAATACTTGAAGCTTCACGCACGCGTAGAAGAGCAGGCCTGGCACTGAAACAGGCATTTTTGCCATGATTACTATATTTTATTTTACGTTACACATAATTGATTACTATCACAATCACTACGCCGTTTACAAGAATTTACTTATACCACGTAGCACAATCATGACTCGGCTAAAGCAGTCGCGTCCCCTTTTCCCGATAGGAATGATTCCACACCTCGAGAATCATTTGAACTTTAGGCCATAAATTATTTAAGTTTAACAAAACACGAGATAACACCCACATATTTTACAATAAGCAGCTAGATGAGTATTACTTGATGAATGCTTTATGCGTAGTGTTTCCTAAGCCGAAAATTTACGCATCTTCTTAACACACTGTGGTGTTCACTTTACGACAAGAATAGTTAATCATGTAAACTACCCCCGTTACTCACACAACTAACTTGTTGCGGGATTTTACAAAGCAAACTGTTCAGTCTTTAGGCTTAAAAACGCGCTAACATGAACTTGCCAGTGTATACAACTCTGCCGCGCGTGAGTCGCATACGTCCTGAACACGATTGCGACAATCATACGGTTCTAGACACATGAATAATTCACAAGCCTTTTTCGAATGATATACTGCCAGCTACATCAGCAATCTGAAAAAATCAAGAACTATAGGTTATTCTACATACGCGAGGACATTTCTCATACTTTATGGTGATGTCCTGCAGTGCATGATTGACGTACTTTTTCTAAAGAGTGAGGTTTACACGGGCGTAAAGAGTTTCGCTAAACAGATTATTGGGCATTGATTCTCTTTAATTATGCTAAAAACTGAAGTTTTGGTGGGCTGGCACACGGCATTCACTTTTGTGAGAAATTCGGCATTCACAAACCTTTCAGAACTCAAAACGAATTAACGCACAGAGTCCTTTGTCGCTGTGTTCCTTGTCAAGCGTTCTCGCTGAATTTCCCGATAAGATAGAATATTACTAGCTCATTGGAAATATGCAGGTGCCTTGCTTAATTTCTATCTTTACTAAATCGCATATATTAAAACTGGTTTTGTAAAGACCTGATAGGCAATACTAGCATATAATATATGATGGTTATAGGTAGCACAATTTTTTTTCTGAGATCAATAATATTAGTCTGGCTACCTCATTGAATCCTGAATTCCTCAAGGAATCCTGATCCTGAGCGCATAATCAGAAGCTGTTAAGCCCGTGGGAAAGATCATTTACGAGAGTAATCCTCAATAAGCTCGCCCTTCCTTCGCCCTTCTAATAAGCTCGCCCTTCTTTTGTATGAAAACACAAGCACTCTACAACAAATCCGTTTGAGCGACTCGGTAAAGCGATCGAGTTCCATGCCCCGAACATACCATGAATCTCCGTTCGACTAACGTTCGAAACATTTATGTCGCCCTTGAGCTACATATGAGCATCGACACCACTGTGTTCATATGGGCATCGGAAGACGTAGCATGATCGCGCGTTTTCCGAATACTATTTATGCCGTTTAATATTTCAACGGTATTATATTCACAAACGCCTACCTTCCTCGCCACCCTTTGCCTTCAGCGTTCGCAGCGCTTCGATGGCGTGCTCCGGTCGGTGAGTACGCACGCTCGGATTATGTTTGCCTTGAGAAACTCCCCTAGACGGCAGTGCCTGCTTTCTGTTGGGCTATAAATGTCTCTGATTAGGAGTTTACATAACACCACTATCGCTGAAGGCACAGCCGCTGAAGCGCGCGGATTCCACATTACTTAAGGATCCACCTTTCTCATTCATCGGTTTATTTGACTAACAGAGTCAACCCGAGCCCGCGGGTAGTTGAGACTACATATATGAGCGTGATACCCGCAACTTTCTCGACGCCATCGGTGATCGCATTTAAGCCATTGTAAAGTGCATGAGCTCAGTTATTCCCCCGAGTAACAAAGCCTTCTTGTGAAACTTCAGCAAATTAGCGTCTATATGCCTAGTGGGGACTTGTTTTCGAGGAGTAAACAAGCAAAGTACAGGTGATACGCAGACATTGTGCAAACGCAACTTATTTATCATTACGCCGAAGGGGCTACAAAGTTTTATTCGAGAGCCCTGCATGACGAAACCAAGATAAAATTATGAGGAACGCTTTATAAGAGGTACTGTGGATTATTTCAACCCAAAGTACATGCATGTAAACCTAGGAACACAGGAATTTCGGTATTTAGCACCCATTGAAATGCGGCAGCTGCAGCTATAAATCGAACTCGGGACCTCGCGTGATGGCTATGGCTAAGAGTGAAGCCCCTTTGTGTGGGAAGTAAAACGGTTCCAGTATGTACAGCCGCCCAGATGGTATACTTAATGTACGCATTCCAGCAGTTAGGATCACTTTTCTTCGAATAACTTCTGCTACTGTTACCTAAAGCAACAACCATGCGCGGAGATTGATTGTTCCGTACAAACTACGTAACTCCATTGAAATCGTCACTTGTGTTTTGTGATAGCCTCAAGGACCACCTATATGTGCCGGGAACGTGGTCGCCATAGATCCATGGTGGGCGCGCAAGCCTGCGAATTAGTTGCATTACGTGCAGCGGGTGCCATCAGTTGGGCCTTCGGGCGCCGTAATTATGATCGATTGTTTTATAGTAAGCGGCTTATTACGCAGTGCCGGAAAGAACTGGTGCTGGAAGTGCGATTGTATGTGCATCCGAGAAAAGGTGTCAAGGCAAAAGGTATAGATGTCGCCGAGGAGAATTTTCGCGTTGATGTAATGTCTGTACCTGACGATCGCATACTGTAAAAAAAATGAACCGAGATGGGAGTAAACGACTTCTCCTCTAACGCGCGCACTGATGGGTGTTTTATAAAGACCATACGGAGAGACAGTGTTTATAAAACCCCCATCAGAGCATTCGGCACTAACATTCGTTTTATTAATTTGACAGCTGCGGTCACATGAGGCAGAAATAAAGATAAACTGTTATTAGAAGCAATGCAGCTCTTTGAATAGACTGTGTAACGTTGTCCCTCCATCCACACTGCTCCCCTCGCTGCGGGTGTTGGAGCAGTGCCAAGTGGCTAACGCCCTCTTACAAGTGCATGGAGGCATCTCTCTCCCCCGCCTGCCGCGCGCTCGCCGTGTCACTCTCGCTTCACCCACTCCGCTGCTTACAACGCTCGCAGGATTTCAAGCTGGACGGTTGTGCCCTCGCGATCTCCGACTTCAGCGTAGCTCCCCGCCGACTGGTTCGCCCTCCGCGGTCTCCTGACGCCGTGTAGCTCTCGCATTGTGGCACCCCGCCCTTGGACTGCTTCGACCGGATCCCCACTTTCCTATCTCCTTCTTTTTTCCTCTCGTTGGCTGTCTTCTTCTGCTTCTACTTTCCTTCTATTCTTTTTATCCCTCCTTCCCCCCACCCCTATAAGGCACTGCGCCGTGTCGCCTGAAGGCAGACAGAAATTAGGTGCCTTTTTCCTGTTCATTCTAATCACTACCACCACCACCACACTCGAGCCCACTCCTCATGGGGGCATCATCTCACCTGTGCCTATAGGGGAGACCCGCTCATGTTTGCCCGCTGACGCCAGCGCTTGCCTTTCCTCTGCCAGAAAAAGCGCACAATAGTAGCGTGTAGCGACGCTTCCACTCCCTTTGGCTTCCACGCATTTGCGAAGCGTGCGCTGCATGTAAAACGTCCTTGTTCAGCGATGTCAGCCCAACAGAAAGGGGGGAACTATTGCTACGTCGTCAACTGTCACAACAACCATGCAAACACGAAGGGGTCGACTCCACCAGTGAAATCCTACCAATTCCCAAACCGATAGTACGAAACAAGCAGGCGACAACCTCATTTTGCTTAGGCGGAAGCGTCATTTTGTGAGGGCATGATCAGCACAAAAATTCCGTGGAGCAGGCTGTGCCGCAAGGTGTTGCCCAAGATGACCCAGCAATACAAGATTAAGAGAACTCTGTTTTCCTCAATGTCACGCTTTCAAGTGATTTAGAATTGCTAGAGAAGCCTCTCACACCCACCAGTAATTTGCTTCGTATCGGCTACATGGCTGAGCAGACGCTGCCCTTTTAACATATTGCTCACACGAAAAAAATCCTAAACTATGCGCAACGCGAAACTCTCAAAAACACGTGCAGAATGCGTGCAGCGTGCGAGCAAAGCAACGCGTTTTCAAGGCAGGTTGAAGGGGACAGCGGAAGGGTCAACACTCGAGTAACCAGCTTTCACCCCACATTGACAGTGCCAGGCTCTGCAGCGCCTCCCTCGGCGTGGGTCTCCCCTATATATCTTTTACCAACTTCTTTACCACCAGAAATTTTACCAACTTTTTAGCGCGAGCTTTTACCAACTTTTTAACGCTGCTTGCCGCGCGATGACGCCGACGGGCGGGTTGCCGTCGGGGCGCGCTTCTCGCTAGTGTACGCGTACCTTTCGCGCCTGTCGCCGGCGTTACAAAGGTTAGCGAAGCCGATCATGTTTGTGAATGGCGACGTAAACACCGCCGAGGCGTGACCCAGGGAATTCTAACGCAAGCGTCGGCAGTAGAATACCAGCGACACTGACGAAGTGCGAGAACGCCGATCGCATTCCAGAATAGAGATGGCGCGTGGGTAACGCCGACGAGACACGAGCCGAGGAAGGCAAGCGCAAGCGTCTTCAACACGTCCCTCCTTCCGTGTCTTTGCGTTTCAAACATGCGTTTACTCAAGTAAACGACACCGAGTCTCACTTCAGACCGTTCTGCTAGCACCCGCGTGGACGCGCGTTTCAACCGGGTGAACTCCATGCGCACCGCTGCTGCTTCGCATGCCATCGGGGTTCCCTTCGGGGATATGGTCCATAGTTTTTTTTTATTTCAGCAGACTTTATATTCCGTTAAACATATTCTTTGCCCCGCCGGTGGCAAGTGCTAGCTTGTAGAGCTCACCACGGCGAGGCACCATCCCCGGAAGTCGGGGCGAGCGCGTCGCATGCGCAACTCTCACACCGGTCGCCGGCCAGCTTGTCATAATCGAGCGGAAGCCTACTTCAGACCGCTTCGAAGATTTAGATGGTGAAACTGCCGGAATAACCACTGGCAATCACACCAGCTTACTTTAGTGAGCATTATTTATTCTTCGAATTATTTTGTGACTCGCTCTTTGAAGCGAGGCATTTGCGGTGTTTTGCTGAGGAATTGGACGGATGTCCAGCGTGGTTCAACGGTGCGAAATACCTTGAAACGTTCATACTAAACACCAAACGGTCGTTGCAAATCTTCGCTACACTGATGATTTCGTTGCCTGTCGACAGATGCTCACATGGTCACTTGCACACAAGGCACTTGTGTTTCACACCGACCTGTTGAACGGATGCCTGTTCAAACACACGCACGTGCGTATGTTCTGACCAAAAAGGGTTTTAAAACTCCCATAGGGAGTTTGTAACTACGTGACATGAAACTCTGTGGGAAGTTTAACAAGGTTAGGTCGTTCATAAACTCCGTCACTAAGCAAGGGGCCTTTTACGATGACGTGTGCCGAGTTCACTCAGCTACCAGGGAGGAAATAAATAATTGGGGCAAGGAACGTTATGGGGTTCATATGCTGGAGAATTCCCATCTCGGCTAATTTTTGCTTGCATATGTAACCGAAGTCAGTGGCGTAGCCGAGGAAGAAAGGGGGCGTTCAAAATCTCTCAAAAAATTTCAGTTTTCCTTGCATATATGAACACGCGCACATAGAAACACCCTCACGAACATACATAAAGTATTGTTGAACATGAGCCCCTCCCCCCCGAAAAACGTTTCTGGCTACGTCCCTGGCCATTAGAGACGCTACATCGGCTCTACGAGGGAAGCCTCTACTGAGTAACGTACTTTTTAGTGGGCTTTTTTTTTCGCGGGAGAATGTTTGTTAGAGTGTTATACAAGAACAGCGCAAGCTGACCACTAATAATTCATGCTATATATCAGGCTGTACGTAGCGTAACACATTTCAATTTAACGTTCGGTAACACAAACATCAAGAGAGATGAAGAGCGAGGATGCTTAAGAGAGACGTTGAGTCTCGAATAAGGTACGAAAGCACCAACGCGTACGTACAAATTTAATACGACATCTTGAGAAACATTGGGCCTTACCATATAGCGCACACCTAGCCACAGAGAGGCTATAATGTGGGGAGCGTGAGCACAAAGATAGAGCGAGTGAGAGAAAGGAAACGAGCCATGTTCCTTTCCGTAAATAATCTCTATAGGTTTGCTTTCATGCGTTATTCCAAAACTCTTTATTAAAGGAGAAACTGGTAGCCACCTCATTGCCCTAAATTTTTGCTCTCTCTCTCGCTCTTAAAAGACAGTCTTACGAGAGAGTCCTTATAATGTGAGTGAATATTTATCTCTCTGACTCTTTTAACAAGAATCCCTATGAGCGCTCTTGTCAGAATAGTGGTGCTTTTATGTTCACTCCTCGACGTTCCCCAAAACCTTCACATTTTTTTATCGCACACATAAAATGCGTACACATACCAAACACGCACACGAACACATATACCTTCCGTAGAAATGTTGGACTAAAACTTTCACCAATATTACTGAACACTTCGCGTATCAATAACCTCACAAAAGCTTCCCGCTTGACGTCGAACTTCTCGGGTGTTTTTTGGCAGGCCAATGACTAAAAACGAGGCTTTCTTGACTGTGCTGCTGATGAGTTTACTGCGGTATTCACGGGTAATTCGTATAATGATTGAAATAAGTGGCACAACCAATATACAAAAGGTCCTTTTCCATTTTTGTTTTCAAACGATGCTTCTGTTGACTGATCTTTGAAGCTGGTGTTCAAAAAAAAAAAAAAAACTCACCCACGGCTGACCCACACCAAAGAATTAATAATAAAAAACAAAAGTTTTCTATCCGGCGCTATTCACAGCATGGAAGTGGCCAGTTCACTCTTCGGTTGGTCCTTCGAAGATCAATAGCACTCCATGTGTGACGACCTCCCGCACTTCGCAGGTGGGCATCGAGTTGACGAACTCACGCTGCTTCATCCCCTACTCGGTGTGGCAACCTTGCGACCACCGCAACTTCCTCTCGACTCACGAGTGGGACCTCGAGCAGCTGCGGATCGCCTGGCAGAGCGTTCACTATGCCAGCGACATTTGTCCTCCAGCCAACGAAAGCTTGCTTGCGTGCTCTTAAGCCCGCGCTCCGAGGAAGAACACGTTTTTCGAGCCTTGGTTACGGCACGCAGGTTAATGTCTGTTGCCGTATAGTTGCTATATGAACGATTGACGTTAAAAAGAATGGCGCGTGGGATTGAGTGATCCTGTGAGCGACAGTTGTGTCGCAGGATTTTGGTGGTGTTGCTGTTGCTGTTGTTTTTGTTGTTTGAACCTCGAAGAGATAGTATATGGTTCGTTTAATTCCTCATATTTTCACGTATACTTATGATTCAATCATGAGAAAATAAAATCAAGTAAAGCGAATGTTAGTTGCATCACTATTGAATAGTATATAGTCAAGACCACAATTTGTAACCATGAATCTCCTTAGCAAATTGTTGCTCGTCCCACGAGCCAAACAAAAACTATATTCTTAAGCGGCTATGTGCCACAGAAATTGGGTAAGTTCTATTACTCAGCACTGGTTCACGAAAGATGAAGAAGGCATTGATTGCCCTAACCAACTACTGTGAACGACGGCAGTGAGCCAAAGACCCCGAATGCCTAACACGAGAGGATACTATATGAGAAGGGGGAAGGCAGCGGCGGCTGCGAGAAGATCCCGGCCGATGGATGGGAGCGCCAACAAAGACGAGCCGGTAGATCTACGGGAGGTGGAAGCACTTTGTTTTAGCTCGAGTTTCTTTCTTTGGAGTTTAAACAACCGTGTCGTGTGTGTGACTTAACTCAAACCGCTCTGTGCACGATAATCAACGTAGAAAACAAGGAGTGTGTAGCTAAAGCCTATCAACAGCCCATAGAAGTAACATAGAAGCCGCATCACCTATCCAAGGCCTACACAGACAACCTATATGGAACCTAATCATACATTGGAATCGTCCGTTTTCACTGTTTCAAACCTTGCGCCGCTTAGCGCAAGCTTCACCAGTGTTTTTTTTTTCCAGCACTTTTTATGCTCCCACATTTTTTTTAACGATTTCTATACAGCCATTCCAAGTACATCCATTTTCCTTTTTTTTTTGCCAAGATCCTGTTCAACTTTTTTTATTATCGTGGTATCGATCATTATAGAGTTACGAAGTACACATTTTGTCCAGGACTGAGATGCTGCACAGTCGCCCCCACCCCCCCTCCACTTATCGCATGACCGTATAACGCAGCCGAAGAGGCCGCTAAGCACTCGCCACACAGAGGGGCGGGAATCCCGTCATCGAATCTTAAATAGCTGCACTCGCCTACTGGTAAATCAGTATCTCTGAGAATGAGAAAATATTTCTGAATCCTTGATTTCACGCCGACGTAATTGCACTGGTGTTTTGTTAGCAGAAGAAGCCGTTGCGAATCCGCCATTGCGAAATTGGCGCATATATAGTTTTGGAATTATGATTCGTCAGTTTAATAAATCACTACTCATCTACAATAATGTGCTGGTTGTTATTTTGGCTCAGTAAGCGATTTCATTGCAACGTCTTGCGATATAACTGCGGTCTATTTTATCGTGCTGTGGTATGCAGTGCAACTTCGAGAGCAGGCCCGCACTTCTCAGGCCAATTCATCACTTCTTTCTTTTCACAGGTATAAACTTGGGGCTTGTTTTCTTTGTGAGACACATCATTACTAAGAACTAAGAGACAGTGATGCCAAGAGAAGTGCATACAGAAGTGTACATATGTTTTCATAATTTCCTGTTAGTTCCCATTCATTTCTTTTCACCAGTCATTTTGAAGACGGCTACGAAGGAGAAATGCCTTTTCTTGGGGACGAATCAGAGCGGCTGCTCTCACGCGATACACAAAATATTCAGTGCAGCGAGAGGAATTTCACTACGTTCTGCAGTTTGATTTCACTACGTTCTGCAGTTTGATTTCGCTGCGGTTGGCAGTTTGAGAGTGATTTTGTACGTTCGGCCTTTCTACATTGAATTAACGTAATTTTGCTCTTTTTACGTGTGTCTTAAGCACTCGACGCGCCATCTAAAAAAAACCTCGCTGTTCTTAGAAACCGCATGTCACCTCGTGCGACATATATACGAGTACTTGCATGAACTTACTTCTGGCCGTCTCCGAATGTGTAGAGAAGAAAGAAAGAAAAAAGAAGAAAGAAGAAAAAGAAAAAAAAAAAAAGAAAGAAAAGAGGGAAAAGAAAAAAAAGAAAGAAAGAAAAAAAAGAGAAAGTAAAGAAAAAAATAAAGAAGAGAAAAAAAGAAAAGAAGAAAAAAATGAAGAGGGGGGGAGAAGAAAAAAATAAGAAGAAGAAAGAAGGAAGAAGAAAAGAAAAAATAAAGAAGAAAGAAGAAACGAAGAAGATAGAAATAAAAAGAAGAAGAAGAGAAGAAGAAAGAAAGAAAAGAAGGAAGAAAGAAGAAGAAAAAGAAATGAAAAAAAAGAAGAAGAAGAAGAAGAAGAAGAAGAAGAAGATAGAAGAATAAGAAGAAGAAGAAGAAGAAGAGAGAAAAAGAAGAAGAAGAAGAAGAAGAAAGAAGAAGAAGAAGAAGAAGAAGAAGAAGAAGAAGAGAAGAAGAAGAAGAAGGAAACTCTAATATCTCAGCGGTTCAGGTGTTTCTGAAATTTTATAGCTATGCGTTAAGACTATGTGAATATGCTTTTATAAATGATCCAGACTCCTTCTTTTTTGCCCGTCGGCCAAGGTTTCGAACACCTCAGGCTATTTTTGTCCAGAAACAAATTTAGACAGAATAAATGTGAAAACGCGAGATGTGCTTGCAGTGCAGATTTCAAGCCGGAATCTTAAGATAGAATTTGATGATATCTCCCCTTATGAGCCCAAACTTCAGTCAAACAAAGTCTTAAATATCAATCTGGAGGATTATCTTGCGCACGCCGAAACGAATAATATCATAGCCACACTTATGTCAGTAATGCACAATAAGAAAGTAGTAGGTATATACTCCTATTCACTTGGCTGGTCTTTTTCATCGAGATTGCCGGACTTCACCCCCTTTTTTGAAGCTGAATTGTTGGAAATAATTTAGTGCTGCGGAAGGTACCTTTGAACGCCCATAACACAATAATTACTGATTCACTGTGAGTATGCACGTCGATTATGACGTCATCAAAACCTATGGCCTTAAAGACACTCCTTATGCTATAGTCCCTCCTCCACTGCAGCTCCTGAAATATTTTGGGTACCAGGCTATGGCGGATTAAAATTAAATTAAATCACTGACTCTCTAGCACGAGTGTCATTGAATGGTCCAGTACCATCGGTCCTTCCCGAAGTAGCCACAATAACTGCGACAAGATACAGAAAATTTTCGCTTCGTGCAGATGCTATGAAATTATTAACATTATCGACAGGATTTACACACTTCAAATGTTTGTAGAAAATTTAGTAGTGTCCTACAAGACAATTGGAAGTCATAAGAACCAGATTTCGATGCCGTGCCCCTCCCCTTCCCCCTCTCGCTGAATTTCGATTCACACAGGGCTGGTCTGGCGATATCCTCGCTATGCAACTTTTGTTCCGAACCAGAAACAATAGAGCGCTACTTTTTGTCATGCCATCAATACACATTGTTAAGAAAAGAGCCTTTTAGTATACGGAATCGCTAGCCTGGGGCTGAACTTTCCAATTGAGAAAATACTTTCCTTCAGTGTTGTTGTTCACCCATTGATAATGGCGCATACCAACTTCGGGGGATTGGCCAAAAATCGAGTGGTTTTAAAAAACACTGTTCAGATTTGGAATAATGGAAGTATAACAGAAAGATTAGCGATAGCCTAGGAAAGTGCGGTGCTTAATGTAATGCATACAAATATTTACATAAACGAATTTATCCTTAGACCAGAGCAATTATCTGATTAAATACGTATATAACTATGTGGACATGTTCGTATAATGAAACTGGTTAATTACTCAACCTATTGGATTTTAATATAGTCCCGGACGGCCGCGCATACTGTCGCATTAGAGAAACTAGAAATGAAAGCTCCAAAGGACAAAATGACTGGCACAGATAAGTCCATACCCACACCAGGAAAAGGTGTTTTTAAACGGGTTTTTGGTAATGTCTAAAACCGCCTGCAGGTCAAAAAGAAATGATCTATTGTTTCCAGTTCACCACAGAACGCGCACAGTGGCGAAAGTGCCTGAGCAGACCTGTGTTTATAGAAATTAGATTTGGTACCCGGCAATGGAGCCTAGTTATAGCTACTTCTGTTCACGGGTGCGGCAAAAGTCTCTTTGCGAGGGATATAATAAATGGCAATATTCTGTAGAGTTTGTTAGTGCTGAACCTCTAAAGACTTCTATAAGTATACGTCTGCGGAATCGAGCACCAGTTACCTAAGCGGATGATGGACAGTGCGTTAAAATCGGTTTGCTGATTGACGACATATCTAAGGAATCGGCTATATCATTTAGAAATCAGTGCTTCAGATCTGGGCTTCCGCCTCGAAAACGCTTTTGATGCTGTTTGTACTCACCTTCATGAATTAAGCTTTTACTTCCGTGAGCATTATTCCTGCAGGAATAATTTACCATAGAAAAGTATTTTTGTTTAACCACGCTGATATCTGCCCACGATAACGACTGTATTATCTGATCTAACTGAACGAGTTATAAACAGTTATTGTACTCCTTTAATTTTACGTACGTTTTCTTTTGTTGGTGGTGGTGAAATTTTGGGGGGCGGGGGTATAGCTATAAAATACGGAGAAGACTCATTAAACTACGTAATCGATTCTTGGCCGATCCCACTGAGTGGGTATGAGCCATGGTTGTGCTTTCATCATGATCGTCATCATCCAGCACGCTCGATGGCATAGTATAGCAGACTGTTTTTTTTTTATTTCTCAGCTTACGCAATAGTGTGACATTATCATGCTCAAAAGAGTGAATTCTTGAATTTGCATTTACATTAAGTTTGCAACCCCTACCTTCATACCCTCCTCGATGACGTCTCTTCCAGCAATGCGGAGCGTGTGGCCTGCATATCGTAATTGGCCTTTCTCGAGACGTTTCAAATACATGTGCATTTCCCTGCAAAAGTTGTTA